ATATTCCGATAATCAAATATTCAAATATTCTAATGTTCAAATATTCATATATTCAAGTATTCAAATATTCTAATATTCTAATATTCTAATATTCAGGATGTGAGGCATGGGTATGAGTGTATGTGTGAATATTAAGTTAATCATCCACACCCTCTTTTATTTAATAAAATGTAATTCATATTCGTTTCTGTCGATTTATATGAACTTAGTTATTTTGTTATATTTCGTAGAGATAAAGAAATCAAAACGAAATGTTCTTATAAAAGTGTTTTGTGTAAGAGAAGCGAATTACTGTGAAATTTGATATTTTATTTCATCCTAAGTTAATATGCCATCATCAAATTACCATGGTTTAATATAGATTCACTACTATAATTTAGACAAAAGTCGCCTATCAATAGATTGTGATACGATAAACTTATATTTGAGAGAAAATCATACAAAATAAAACATATTTCGTCCACTGTTATCCACCAGATTATGTATATACTTATGCTTCATTACCAACATAATAACTTCCTAAGTGATGATAATAAATCTGTCTAATTGTGAGATGGTCGGAGAATAATCGAGTAAACCAGAAAGGTATTTTTCCAGTCAGAGTCTGAGCAAAACGGATATATCTCGTTGGAAATCAGTTCAAACGTAACTTTAGCCTTTAAAAAATATTAAAAGTTGCGATTAAAATAAAATAAAATAAAATAAAATAAATGTGTAGACATTACGAAGAAAATATAAACGATCGATTTTTTTAATTATACGATCATATTGACAGAAAAATATAGAGATGCTCTTGACATGTGTTATTAAGACACGGCACATATAGAGAAGATTTGTAAAATGAATGTTTTCATTCATTCCTAAGAAGAGACACACGTCAACTTTATCAATGAAAAAGTTTCTCTAGACTGATAAAATCAATGAAGATTGGGAGGGGGACATTTCAAATTTTGATACCCACATTTTCATATATACATCTGTTCACGGATGTTAGAAATACTTCTGAAAAACTATATTTAGCGTCAAAGTTTAGAAACTGATGTGTTTACTTAATATTTCTAAATAAATTAGTTTCAATTCTTTTTTAATAAATAACTCCGCACAACATGTCTATATCGAACTAAAAATACTTTCTGGGAATTTTCATATAAGTTTTCTAGTGTAGAGGATGTGCGTATTAATGGCAGAGTTTTGGTCAAAAACTAGAAGACAAAAATCAGGCGCGGGTATTCCTTCAGTCGGAATGAAGATGATCATAAGATATCAAACGTAGATAGGTAGACACCATTTTTAAGAGTGCACATGAGATCGTCGTATAATCAATTTCATGTTTTGAGTAGAATTCAATTATATATAATTTTAATAGTAGTAATATTCATTTACCATTGTTTACTATACTAGCATTTTGTTGTTGCTAAATGACTTTTTAAAGTTGTGACTAGTCAAAAGAATCTTTGCTGTGTTTTTACGATTAAAGGAAAATTATCTGAATTTATTATTTGTCCTTGACAGAACATGTCGAGGGTAATTGAATAGTTTTATTTCTTTTTATTCTTCTACACTTTTCAAGATATTCATCGAAGTTTATTTTATGTTGTGAGAAATGCAATCCGAACTCTGTTACTACAAATAATTTTCTCAACTTATCATATTGATGTTACATTACAGAATAGAATTACTAGAATCCTTGATCGAAACTAAGTTAAAAAGTTCCAGATTTGGTGTTTAGCGTCAGTTTTTGTATAAATAACTTAAAATCAAGCCAAAGAAGCATTACATGTTCGTATTTGAACAATCCATATTGATGTAAACGACGATGATATAATATTTCCTCTTGTAGATAGCTACAACTCTGAATAAGATAAAAAAGAAAAATTGAATATTTTATAAGATTATTTCTTTCAATCTAAGAAACTAGTCATTTTTATTAATCTAAAATTTTTTGTCAATCGACTAGAATTTTATAGATCTAGCACAACTTTGATGTCTCTTTCTCTTTAGAATGACATCAAAAATCTTATTGATACAGTTTTGCAACATCCAAAAAAATCTTTTGAACTAGCATGTTACTGCCTTTGAGCTTTCGAAATTATCGAAATTGTTTAAAGTATTTTACGATGAATTAAAATAGACGCACATGTTTTTAATGAGAAGTTATCAATCACAATACTACAAATTCTTGATAACGTTTTAGACAATGTAAAGTTTTCACATATAACTTTCATCGAAAATTCTCTTTCCCATATAGAAGATTGTGTTTTAGCCCTTAGAATAAATATTATCAGAGAGTTTTACTGGCTGCTACTTTATCGCTGACAGGAATCGTGATGGATAGAAAGATAATCTTCTTATATCACAATGTGGTTCTACTATGTTGTGCGTCTAAATTCCGTGAAAAGTTTTGAGAAATAATAGGTTTGAAAAGCATGATTGTGACCATATATATGTGGATCATATCTTTCTGAAATTTAGCTTTGATGATGTTCAAAATTAGTTACTTGATATGGAACACTTCCAAAGATAATAAAAACACTAGCCTAAATCAAAATAGTTACTGTTGAAATAACATAAAAATTTCGATTCTTTTTTTCTTAGATTAGCAGTAAACGCTTGGTAAGGATACTGAAAAACTCGTGTTTTCATTTCCATGTTGTATTTAAAATATAATATTTTCGATTCCTCCTAAAAACATCGAAAGTAAAAATGTTGAAGCTAAGAATGTCGAAACCTAAAAATGTCGAATAGTAGAGATATTAACGAAAAGTTTTTGAAAGCATCTATTTTTGTGACATTTTCTTGAGGGTGGGTGGGTGTGGCTGTAAGCAAAGAAATGGTACAACCACACCCACACCCTTGAAATAATTGAAGCATCAGCAAATATAAAAACTTATGATATTGAATCAAATGATTCAATAGAAGGGTACGTTATACCTATCCTATTCACCCACATATCCTCAAGATGTTATTCGTCTTCACATAAAATCTCGTTATGAATATATTATTTTAGAAGAAAATAAACTAAATGATTTAATTATATTTGATTTACCTTCATTTAATTATTAAAGGAAAACTGAAGAACAATATTTATTTATTGAAGGTCAAATTCAAAAAAACATTTTGTTTTTCTTTATAGATATCTTCCACTTATAATTATCATTATTAATTAATTCATTTCAAACAAATCAACAACAACAAACAGATAACGATACATCTTGAAATGAACCAAGTTTTCTTTCATCGATTTTACAAAAATATGGCGAACATTCAATTAAATGTAAAACGGATTTTACATTAAATGCTCCACAAATACTTATTCTAATTGATTTGGCAAAATTAAAAATGAATGCAGATTCTAGTGATAACAGAAATTCTTCATCTATTAAACAACATTGAATTACATTAGATAAATTTTCAGCGAATCGTTTTATTTATAGTGATAAAAATGAATTAATTAATAAAATGATTTTATTAAAATATTTATCATTTGTAACATTAATTAATCGTCCTTAAAATTCACAAAATGAGTCCGGTGAAGTTAATAATTATGCATTTATTGATCAAATTTTTAATGAAAATCTTGTTTTATGAAATTACAAAAATTGATAATACTCAACAAGAAGAAGAAGAACAAATTGAAATTAAAGATATAAAATCATCAAAACGTATTTCGAAAAAATAAGATGTACAAGCAAATACAATGTTTATGAAACAATAATTATATAACTCGAGATGAAAACTCTAAATTTCTTTATTTAATAATTCAATTAATTGAAATATATTGTAATTTATTATCAAATTCAACATTTATTATTACATGCTGTTTGAAAAAAACAATTTCACGTTTTATTCACAAACATATTAATGTTCAACAAAATACATCAATATTTAACATGAATCTTCAATTTAACAAAAATCTAATAGACTAAGGTAGAATTTTTTTAGTTTAAAATATTTTTATTTTTTAATTAGTTAATGGTCAATCAGAAAATTTTTGTACTTGTATAAGTCTAGACATGCAAAATAAATTATTAATGTATTTAATAATTTTATTTATTTATTTTCCATTAGATTCATCTTAACATTCTGTTTCATCTGACATAAAAATAAGAATTCAATTTATTCTCTTTCTTATAGAGAAGAGTTGCACTTCATAATATAAATGGTCATCTTGTTCATGTAAATGAAAATAATTGTTTGATTTTTTAAATAAAATCTTGTATTTTAGCATACGGATGATGAACCATGTCTAATAGCTTTTTGTGAATGACTTTGCTTTGAAACGACAACTGATCTTGATGAAACAAAATTACAAGTATTTTTTCTACCAATTAATGTTTATGTCGAAGATTCGATTGTTGTAAGTATATTTAAAAATTGATTGGAATTTTTAAACATTCACTGCATGCTACAAAGCAGAAATGTAACTTTTATCTGAACCGATCAAACCAGCTTATCTATTGTTAAATGTCAGAAAACTAATTAGCTCCATTGGCTAGTAGTTAGTAATGCTTTCGTTTTAAGAATTTTTGAATAAGATTATTTGAGAAAAATATTTATGATTTCAAAAACTCTTGATTACACATCTACTAACAAACAGATAAGTCCAAACAATGATATTCAAGTGTTTATCTCATCATGGTATGTTTTTCAAATTTACTTAGTTATTAAAATTGTCTAAAGACTAAGTCATTTAAGTGAGATTATCGAATTTCAACATGCTAAGCTATTACTTCTGATTTGTATCTTGATCTTACTAATTAAATAAATATAAATGATATATGTATCGATCTCTGAATAACTCTAACACTTCTTTTCTTTTTCATCTGGAGAAATAAAGCAGATCAACATTTATCTACTGGATGTTCTCAATTATCTGGTTCAATTATTCATGGTCATGCAATACTTTCACATGAAGGCTTACCACCTGAACGTGAAACACTTGAATATGCTTGACAAATGAAAATTATACTTGGTAGTATCTCAACTCGTTTAACAACGATTCAGGTAAGAAATTAAAAACAAAAAAAAATTTTTTTTTGTAAATAATATTATTCTATTGTTTTCAGTTAGAAAAAACCTTGGGTCTTGTTAAAAATTTTTATTTACAAATAATGGAAGATGAATATACTCTTACTCGTTCATCATATATTGATCAAGCAAAATGGATTGAAAAACTTAAATATGATGTACTTAGATTTAGTTTAGATTCAATTGATCTTAATCTCATTGAAGTTGGAAATGCTATTAATGTTCAAGTAAAAAATATTCTATTTATTTCTTCATCGTTCATAATTTTCTTGTTTTAGATAGCACCTATTCGTCTATATATGTGTAATATGCATACGTCATTATTTAATGAAAGTTTAACTTTAAAAGTTGGTACAATACAAACTCGACAATTATTACGTCTTTATCCTGGGTTATGGTTAGAAGCTGGTTCGAAAAGTGTTCCTGAATTATGTATTAATGCAAAATTTGAATGTCAACCACCAACGCCAGCTGCGATTAATGAACAATTAGACTTTCTTCGTCGACATGATCAACATTCACAACGACTTCATTTTCTTTATAATCTTAAATCTCAACAAACATCAAATATTCCAACGATATTAATAAATTTAAAACGTCCATCTTATGTTGGTTTAGCAACAAATTCTAATATATTATCATGTGCATGTGTTAGTGGTTCAACAAATTATTATACACTTGTACAAGGTGATCAGTTGTTTAAAAGTTCATTTCGTCTTAGTGAACAATCATCATCTGGTCGTTCATTATTTCATCCGGAGTTACATATTTTGCATTCACATTTTATATTTGAACATGTTAATCGATTTCATGATGAATTAGATGATGAAGAAATTTTTTATCCATTTGATTTTTGTGGACAACAAAAACAATCTAATGAACAACATCAAAATATAAATGATGATCCGTTACAACGTAATGTATCTACAGATTTATATTCATTATCACATGCTAATTTATTAAGAAATTTAAAACATAAATCAGTTATTGAATGAAATGAACATAAACGTTCATCATCATCAATACCATTAAATAATATAAATATGGTTTCATCACCATCACCACAAACACCAGGAAGTGATGATTATTTAACACCTAATGAACATTTATCATTAGCAAGTGCAAGTCAAATAAGTTTAACTTCAACTTTAAATAATACAAATAATAATATGGAATCATAATCAATATCATCATTAACTATAATGCAACAACAATCATAAATTTTATCATTATCAAGACATTCAGATTTAAATCTATTTTTAACATCAATCGGTAATAAATAAAATCTATCAACAAATTCATCACGTTCATCATCAATTGATTCATTAACAGCTCTAGAAGAAATACTACAAAGACAACAAACAAGAAATAGTTGAGCATTTCTACCTCGAAAAGTATGTATATCATTTGAAAGAAAAATCAATCATATTTTTTTTTTGTTCTGAGATATTAGATTTATTTTATTCAGTGAGATAATCGTAACTACAAAAATCGACATCACTTATTTTTTCTTCTATTTTATATACTAACTAACTTTGAGCTACTTATTTTATGTAGGAAACAAACTAGACTGATAGATTTCGATTTTAAGCCTTTCAAAAAAGAATTATCTCGGTTTCTTCAATTCATATTATACATAGTTAAATACATTAAAAAATTATATTCAGATTTTTCAAATAATAAGAATTGAATGATTTGTGTGAAGATGAGATATAATAGAAATCTTTCTATCTTTTAGGGAACTTCATCAAACATGGAATATAATACTGTACCACAACCATCTCTTCCTAGTTCTTTATGGATAAGTTTACGTATTCAAATGAAAATGCCTATAACAAAATCGACTCTTTTATGTACAACATACATTCGTTATTTATCTCATTACCGTTCTTCAACATGGTCCAATATCGCTACATTTCCATCAAATATTCAGTAAGATAAAATTGATCATCGGCCAATACTTGATTTTAATTGTGTATCTCAAGGTTTTTCTTACTTATATTTAACTAAAATGGCTCCATCTTCTCAATCATTTACTACTCCATTATCTCGACAACCACTATCTCACCAACAACAACATCAAATTGTCGATCACGTCTTTCAATTGCTCAAACAATGTCACCAGTGAATGCATCAAATATAATTGCTACAGAAAGAGAAGTATGTCTTCGATTTTATTGTAGGATTTAATACTGTTTTAACACCACTTATGCTTGAATATTTAACAACATATATTGAAAAATGGAAAACATGATATTGTTACAAGGTCATTATTTGCACTTTCATATAAACAAATACAAATGGAAACGATTTTATCTAATCGTGATCAATCAACAGCTGTTATTTTTAAAATTTTATTAATAACAGGACAATTTCGTTGATTTAAAAACGTTAATATTCATGCTATACAATCACAACGTTGTCGATTACAATTTCGTTTACCAAATCATATACAAACACATTTATCACTTGGTAATAATAAAAAAAATGTCGGATTTGTTATGAATGAATTTGGTTTACAACGCCTATGCTTTAAATTAATTAATAATGCAGCTAAACAACAACAACAACGAATACATATTTTACCAATAATCATACAAATTGATGAAATATAAACAACAAGAGCTTCATCAAAACATAAATTAAAAAGAAAACAGTCAACTGATGTAAGTTAAAAGAAATAATCAGAGCATTACATAACTAGATTATTCACTCACTCATCGCCTGAAAAAAATCAAACAAACATGTTGTTTTTGTAGTAAAGTTACGTAAGCTTTCCCATTAGATAGACGAGGTAGTATTTCTGATCTGAATTGTTTAGGACATTTTGATATATTAGAACTTCGTAATAATACTCATAAAACTGAAAAAAAGTAGAAGATAAGATAGTGATCATAATATGATGTGTGATCAAGAAAGACATTTTATTTTATATCTTTAGCCATTATTAGCATATCCATCGACAATAAATTCACCTGTAAACATTCCACCGGCTACTACTACAACTAATTCTTCAGTCGTTCCAATATTATCTAGTCCATCATCAAGTAGTGTATTTGATGGTTCAATTGCTCATGTTTGGATATCATTTCCTGAACCTCTACATCATACATATTCAACATCGAATTCTTCCAAACGATCACGTACAAGTACAACTAGTGCAAAACAAACTACTACAGCACCTAAAACATTTTTTTCATATACACTTTATGACTGGAATTTTCTTTCAGCATTGTCATCAACGGTTCTGGGTTGGGTTTGTGTTATTAATCGTTTACAAAAACTAGTAGAAAAATTTCTTCGTAAACGTGAAAAACGTCTTGATGCTGTGCTAGCTTATTTACTTGTTGAAACTAAACCTGTATCAACTTTATCACAAAGTAAACTTTATGATTTATTAACTCCAAAAACAAAATATCTTCTTTCACATCCTGTTTGTCAACTGGTTACTGAACTTCGTAAACAATTCAATCGTAATACTCAGATTAATATGAATCTTCAACCAAATATTATACCAGATTTACAATTACTTAAACAAGGTATACGTATATCATGTCGTGAATGGGCTCAAACAATTAAACCACAATCACATAAAAGTATTTTTCAACGACCTTCATCATCAACAACAACATCACCTATTAATAGTATATTAACAACAACTAGTAATGATCAAGAACAACCATCAGCTGTTGTACGAGCACCAACAATGATTGATCATGTTCAACATTTAATTGAACATGAATTTGTTACAGCTCATCCACGTCATCCAACACATATACCAACTAATAACAAGATGGATGTGATATTTCAAAAATAAATGGTTCAGCTATTCGAAGACGTACAATAGTACAAAATACACGATCAAATACAAAGAATAAATATACAACGATTGAAATTAATAATGATTTATCTGAAGGAGATGGTCAACGTGCATCAAGTTTTCTAGGTAAAACTTATTTTAAATTCAAATTATTAATTTAGTTTTTTTTATTAAAGCGGATGCTATGCGACGTTTTGAACCAACAGTTAATGTAAGCAATACAAATGGTAGCAAACGTTTAAGTACTGATCATGATGAATCAGATTTTGAAGTTAATACAAGTGGTATACGATTAAATGATAGTAATCATGATAATGAAGCAATTAATTTATTATACTGATATTACACGTGAACCTTGCTTCAGCACAAATTAAACGATCTGATGTTAAAATTTTACCAAGTGAATCTCAATTATTAATCAATCATTCTCCATTATCACCATCATCAGTTGTTCAATTTCGTTTATCACATATTTATTAATCAATAGTAAATACATCAAATGAATTATCAATACTTTCCGTAACTAATTTAAGTATTCAAAGTGTTTGTAGACAATCACTTGAATATGGTCAGTTACATCCTGCTGATGTATAAGCTGGTATTCATGTTCAACTTGTACAACAAGAACTAAATTTATCATTTATACGTTTTGTGTATCAATTTTATACAGTTGTTGGTAATGCACTTGAATATACAAGTATTGATGAAATAACAAAATCAGATATAAATACTCTGAAAAAACGGAGTTTTGCCGAACCTTTTTGAGGGTTCGGTAAAACTCCTTTTTTTCTTAATAGCGACGGGTTTTTTATGGATTGCGGTAGCTCGAAAACCTTTGTCCGGAGACTCTTAACCAGTTTCCAATAGTAACAAATTCGGAAACCCTTACTGAGTTTCCAAGAATATCCATTTTTTTTAAAGTTCTCGATTTTTGAATTTCTTGACATAATATCGAATAAATACAATGTGCATTTTTAGGGCTCTTTAGATAATTTCTATAGATATGCGGCCTTTCTTTCGATGGTTGGTACCAATACACAAATACTCTACTCGTTTTATGTCTAAATATGGCAGAACACCCATTAGTAAAACTATTGACTTACTCGATCGGCCTTTTGTGTCGCATTCAGGAGTTGTTACTCGCGGCTCTCTTCGACTCCATTATTGCGAATGGCAAGGCGCAAAACCGACGGTGCTTTTTTGTCATGCAGCCTCATTTCATGCTCGATGCTATGATTCGATTATTGAACAAGCTTTGCCTACATCAAATGTTATCTCTCTCGATTTGCGAGGTCATGGTCGTTCTCAGAAACATCCAAGCCCGTACTTCTCTCGCTGGTTTGGTGAGGATCTAGCTGATTTTATTCAAAGGCTCGGCCTTAAAAATATTGTTGGTGTGGGACATTCGGTAGGTGGCTATTCTTTGGTACTAGCCGCAAGTAAGCTGCTACAAAAAAGCGAAAAATCAAGATTCCGTTCGTTACTTCTTCTCGATCCAGCTATTTGCCCACATGACATGTATGGACATGAAAATTCTCAATTTTATAAGAACGTAATAGTTACATTCGAACCGCATCTTCGACGTAAAGCTCAATGGTTGTCTATTGAAGATATGATACAATACATGACTAAACGAGAGCCATTTTCGCGTTGGCCCAGTGCAGTTCTTCGTGATTATTGTTCATATGCCATCGACAATAAAAACCGCCTTTTGTGCTCACCAGACACTGAAGTATCGATATATACTAACTGCATGCATGAGTCAGCTAAAATCTATAACGATATTAAGCATGCTAACGATCTCAATGGCATTGCAATTCATGTTGTTCGCTGTTCGAAACCGTGCGTCGCTCCAATAACCATGGACGCTTCCTTTACAGCACCAACGCTTGCAAAGTGCTTTACACAGGCTCATGACACAGTATTGGATAATACGAATCACTTATTCCCAATGGAAAAACCACATCTAGTTGTTAAGCTACTGAAAGACATGGTTTGAATTGATATTGCCACGTATAAATACGATTGCAATAGTCTGCGCTTTGTAGTCTTGACTCACAATACATTTAAATTGGATGTGCACCGGTTTCAGTAGACTGGTCACTCAGTCCGACTCGGTACTAAACCATCTGATTTTTCATTCATTTATGGACCATTAATATTGTCTTTTTAGAATCTGTATTGATTAATCGATTTTTAGTGTCTTGAGAAGTTTTTAAGGCTGAGGTACGCCTCAAGAATCGAAAAGTAACCAATTTACCTAAAACAACAATTTTATTGCTTAATTATCTTTAATTTGACTTAAAAATAACATTTCAGACATTTCGAACTTAATAAGCACTATCAAAATTATTCTTTTGCGAAATTGATTTATTGCACACCTCCTTTTTACAGTAGTTGGGCGTAAGTGTTGTAGGAATAACCTGAAAATTTTAGCTCAAATGGCCGAGCCATTCCTGAGATATTCTAGAACAAGATCAAAAATTAATTCTATTAGATAGTAGAAATCAAGTCGTTGAAAATTTCTTAGATATTTTTCTATTTTCAAGTCAAGAAAATAGAAAAAATCCTAACTCTCTTACACGTTTGAGATCCCTTTTATGAAATGAGACTGTTTGTATGAATCTTTTTGTCTAGTATTTTAGATTAAGCTTCCAATTTTAATTTTCAACATAATAATTAAAATATGACAACATCATGCTATGCGATACGTAATTTATTTAATATTGCTCGACTATACCCCCAGAAGGTCGCAATAGTGCTTGACGATCAAGTATGGACTTATAGCGAGTTGATTATGCAAGTACAACGTGTTGTACATCAATTACATCACTTAGGTGTAGTTCAAGGTCAAATAATCTATCAATTTGTAGAACGAAGTTTTGAAATGATATGTGGCTTTTTTGGCATCATGTATATAGGTGGAGTGTATTGTCCACTAAATCCAACACTACCACCTGGCCGTCTCAATATAATTCTCGGACAAATGCAAGGTCAATATGTTTTAGTACATGAGAAAACACTTAATCAATTTCCAATAACAGCCGTTCAGTATGTTATTGTATTGGATAATATTCTTCTTCCATTGTTGGATATCGAAGACGCGGATGATCTTCCAATTTCAAGGGAGTACGATGCTGCATTCATCATTCTTACTTCAGGTACTACTGGACGACCAAAAGCAGTTGTTCATACACATAAAAGTTTTTCGGCTATTATTACTGCATTTATTCAATGGAACGTCGGTATATATACTGCTCGAGATCACGTTCTTCAAGTTGCTGCAAGTTCATGGATCACACATACTTGGGAAATCTCATCGCCATTAGTCGTTGGCGGTACTCTTGTGCTTCTGCGACAAGGTGGTCACTTAGATATGGCCTATTTTTCTCAAACTCTAATACATCAACAAATAACGACATTAATAACAGGATCTACAATAATTCGAGCTCTCACTAATTATATTGAAAATAGCCAGCAAACGAAAACATTCGATACCGTGCGCCACCTGTGTACTGGAGGTAATGATAAACTTTTGATCTATTTTTGACATCTTAGTTCTTACTCATTTTGCATAACTTAGGCGAAGCAATGAAGCCACAACAATGGATTCAATTTGTTAATTTGTTAAGTTCTTCCAATGTTCAACTTTGTGTTATATATGGTATGTCTGAAAGTGGTGGAGTTCTCGGATGTCGATTGCTAAATATCAAAGATACAGATATTCCTATTGGGTATCTATTCCCTACTATTCAATGTTTGCTAATCGATGACGATGGCAAAATTGTTACTGTTACAGATAATTCAAATCAAATTGGTCAAATTCATATAGGAGGTAAGTAGCATCCATTTTAATCATTTTTTTTATAGTATGTATTTTTTACAAGGACCAACTTTGTTTAACGGCTATTTAAATGATCCTGAACTTACCGCCAGCAAGTTTACAACCATAAACAATCAAATTCATTTTAAAACAGGTGATTTAGCTCGATATAATATACAAGGTGAGCTTGTTTATGTTGGACGTGCTGATTTTCAAATTAAAGTACGAGGTCAACGAGTTGAAACAACTGAAATTGAAAACACAATTACCAATTCGTATCCTGATAAGATCTCCGACTGTGTTGTTACTAAACTGGCACAAAATGATAACCTACTTGTTGCATATGTGGTGTCAAAAGACTCCGAGCTCGACACTGAACAAATTCGAAATTATTGCAATAAACATTTATATCAACACATGATACCATCTATTTTTGTCTTCTTGGAACAGTTACCTGTAAATGTGAATGGAAAGCTCGATCGGCAGCGTCTTCCTATACCTGATATCTCGGTTCTATCGACTAATGCTACTGGTCGTCAAGATATAGAACCGAAAAATGAATTGGAAACGCTCGTTCATTCGGTATGGTGTAAGGTTCTTGATTGTAATCGAATCTCGACGCTAACAAACTTTTTCAGCATTGGTGGTCATTCTCTCCTATTTATTCAAATCTATCAGTATTATCGAACGTTATTTAATTTTGATAATGAAACAATAAATACTCGATTATTCTTTGAACATAATACCATAGCCGAACATGCAAAACTACTAGAAAATATTAAGATCAATAATATACAAGCAAAACAATGGCAGACACTACACATTAATCAATGTAAGCCATACAAAAACATTCTGCATCAGGATACAATATTTTTCTTCTAATTTATAGGTATTGCATCATTTGCTCAACAACGGATATTTCTTGATGAGAAAATGCGTTTTTCGGGAGAAACTGCCATTTACAATGAGCTGGTTGTTCTACAAGTTACAAAAGGTTCATTATCAATGAATCGTTTATTACAAGCACTTCACTGTGTCTTAAGCAAACATAAGATATTAAGAACATCTCTTGTTTTCAGCAACGATGATAGTACTTTAAAACAATCTATTACTGATAAACATCTGACATGTACACTGGCTGCCGATCAAACATTCAAAAGTGAAACTGAACTTCACAACATTATCTCACAAATAAATACTAATCCTAATTTGTTCGATTTACCAAGTGGGCGTGTTTTTTATTGTCAAATTCTCAGACGACAGATGATACCTGATGAAAATCATGATAAGGAAATGATTGCAAATTCTGATGTTCTCGTTATCGGCTTTCATCATGTTGCAATTGATCAATCAAGTGTCTCAATTTTTTTAAATGACCTATGTAATACTTACAATAGTAATATGGCGGGGTTAGATGATGAAGAATCATTACAATATATTGATTATAGTGTTCATGAGCGTCTAATCGATATGACACCATCACGTGAGTTTTGGCGTTCTCAACTGAATGGATACAATCAAGAGTGTCGACTGTTACTACCAGTTGATCGGCATTTCTTATATAGTGATCAACGATCTGGATATGCTTCCATTGCTCATATCTCACTTGATAATGAGATTTCAACATCATTTCTCAATTATGCATCTTCCCATCAAGTCACACCATTTCAACTATGTCTAGCTACATTCTATGCATTTCTTTTCAAGCTAACATATCGACAAAATGATTTGTGCATTTCTTGTCTCAATGCAAATCGATACAGAGCTGAATTACAAAATATGGTTGGAATGTTTGTTTCGACATTACCGTATCGTATTCAAATGGATTCTGACTGTTCATTTGATGAACTTGTTGAATATGTACGAGAAAAATGTTTATCAATTCTTGAACATTCTCATTATCCATTACAACACATTCTTACTGACTCTCAACTTAAACAGTCAAACGTTCCTTTTCTTGAAACAGCGCTCAATTTTATCACTCTCTCCGAAAAGAGCCAATGGTCTATTGACACAGCAATGTTGAAGCAATTACCAACACAAGAATCATATGGTGCTGCTAAATTTGATTTTGGGCTGACTAGTCTTTATAACCCAACATCTAATGATAGTAAACTATCATTTTGTCTAACCTGCTCGCGTGATCTGTTTGATCAGACAACAGCTATAATCGTAGCTCAAAGATTAAAACATCTTGTCGATCAACTTTTTTCATTAAAACCAATTTTCGGTGAAATTGGTCCAACATTTACATCTATATCGAAACTTAGCTTGATTCTACCGGCAGAAGCTCGAGAAATCGAAGATGTGATCTTTTGTCGACAACAGAATATTGTCAATGACGGTAAGTTTGTATAATTCTTTTCTCCTATATTTTTGTTTATAAAGAAACAGATAATCCGTGATGAATAATCTGTAAAATGACAAGAAAATCTTGTTTTATGAATATGAAGCATGTCACCACATCTGATATAATCAAGATTCACGTTAGTTGTGAAGTTTTTGAGTATGATAGTAAACCTTTGATTAGCCGACACAATTAACATAAGGTCTTACCTTATGACATATATAACCTACCATCATGGATTATTGTATGTTGGTTGCTTACCAAGTTTCTCTTCGTCCTCCTTTTCTATGAACCACGAATTAGAAATGCTTCTAAGATAAATGCAAAAACTAGAACCAATCTCTCTTTTCATTCTGAGGTCTGCTCTTTCCTCCACGAATATTATCGATATTATAACGAGCATAGTGTAAAATATGAAACTTAGTGAATATATCTAAAAATCGATCGAGAAAACTCATTACTTTATGAGCGAACTGAAAAGATCCATGAAATATACGCGTTTTAATTTAAGCATGTCTGATGAATCGAAGACATTAAGATAGATTTCAACTTATTTATTAAATATGTTTTTCTGTTAGTAATCACAATTATTTTGTGTTTTACATCTTAGATTCAGAGACTTAATTAATAGCTTTCTCCCTTGTCTTCCATAAATTCTCATAAAAATTAATATGCTAAATATTAACACTTCTGATCCAATTCATACTTTAAAAACGATGTTAAACTTTAATGATATTGTTAATATAAATAATTTCCGATAGTCTGATCTCACTGTGTTTGTGATTTTCCAAGCTTAGCTGATCTTCGATGTTTTTCTGCAACTTCCTATACGTTTTAAGGATTATTCCAACTGACTTAGTAACATTCTTTCATCATCATCCATCAGGACTACCGAAAGATGTAGTCATAACTTCAGTTATATCTGATTAGTATCTCATTATTAATTGCAGCACCAGCATCATATGCACAAGCTCGCATTTGGTTTGATGAACGAGCTCGATTTGACCCAGACAAACCACAACTCGCACTTTACAATATGCCTTTTCTCTACCGTCTTAATAAAGGACATACTTTATCAACACAACAACTTCGACAAGCTCTTCAACTAATTGTTAGAAAACATCAGTCATTTCGTACATTATTTATCTTTGATGCAGAAAAGAGTTCACTTATGCAACGAATTGTTGGTATCCATGATGATAATAAAAGATCGTATGCATTCATTGAAAACACTTACGAAACACAAGAGCAACTCAGTGATATTGTGCGTGAAGAAAAATATAATCCTCAATTTCTTGATCTTGCTCAAGGTCTTGTCTTTCGATGCCATCTTGTTTATTACAAACAAATCTCTTCAGATCATCTTCTTTCTCACAAAGATCTACTTATCTTCAACTTTCATCATGCTTTATTTGATTTACCATCAATGAATATCTTTCTTCACGATCTCAATCAAGCATACACAACAGGTCAATTATTATATGATGAAAACACTAATCTACGTTATCTCGACTGTAAGAAACTTAATTTTAGTTCTCTATTCAGATTATTTCTTTTTTCTTTTTATAAAGATACTACTACTGAACAACAAATGTCAATGACTGGTGCAAGCATGTTTTGGCTTGATG